GGAGAATGTGGATGTGTTGGGGCATTGCATGGGGACAGGCTGGGAAATCACAGGGGGGAGAATGCGGAAAGGTTGGGGCATTACATGGGGACAGGCTGGGAAATCACAGGGGGGAGAATGAGGAGGGGGCGGGGCATTGCATGGGGACAGGCTGGGAACACACAGGGGGGAGAATGCGGAAAGGTTGGGGCATTACATGGGGACAGGCTGGGAAATCACAGGGGGGAGGGGACAGGCTGGGCAATCACAGGGGGGAGATTGTGGACGGGTCGGGCCATTGCATGGGGACAGGCTGGGCAATCACAGGGGGGAGATTGTGGACGGGTCGGGCCATTGCATGGGGACAGTCTGGGAAATCACAGGGGGGAGATTGTGGACGGGTCGGGCCATTGCATGGGGACAGTCTGGGAAATTACAGGGGGGAGATTGTGGACGGGTCGGGCCATTGCGTGGGGACAGACTAGGAAACAGTCACAAAGAAACAAACCTGCGTTATGTATACAATGTACCATTTCTGTATCTCGAAAGGAGACCTGGGGCACTCAGTAGAAGATTTAGGGAACTCCGTAGAAGATCTGGGGCACTCAGTAGAAGACTTGGGGCATATGCCGTGGGTGTAGGGTCTAGCAACGCCCCTGTTTGCGATAGAAGAAAGCCTGGAGTTTAAGTATATCTATAGCCCAAACTTTTTAGACATAACAGGGAAGGGTTATAGCTGGGCCCATGCATACAACACTGCAATCAGAACCCTAATTGATACAGCAGTATTAAATCCTAGGGGCGCGTGTGCACTGGTCCATAATCTGGAGCTGTGTAAAATAAATATTTGCCTTTGCCATTGTGTATGGTGCATACTTCACGCTGTACATATGTAAATGTTTGTGCTAACGATTAAAGGTGCACAGTGCAGATGTACTCTGTAGGCTGCAACTGTTCAGGGCTGACATGTAAATATCAACAATATGTAATCACCGGAGCGTCACCTTCCCAGCAGCAAAACATATTTTAAAAAGAGAAAGGTTGGCTTTTCTTAAAAACGCGGCGCAGGGAGGATTAGACCGGGGGAAAATATTTTTATGTGCAAAATTAAATTAAAAAAATGCAAAACAGCTATGTGACTGAATGCTGATTGGCTCAGCTCATCTGGGAGACCATGTCTGGACCAGGGAAGCAGGGCACTCATTGGTCACTCATTGCTGTCATTGTGAAATACTTATCCGTGACCACGTTAAGCATCCCTATGAAAATAAAAGCCGTCTGTGGAAGCTCTTGCACACCTCAGCCTCTCTGACAAATGACACACTTGCCAAAATGCAAACATAGGCATGGCATGCAGGAATGACACAGGCACAGCTTCCACCATCACCAGGTTCCTAGATCGGGAGAGGTGCTGTTCTAATCCGCTGCTTCACACCCGGCCCCACATCACCATCTTTATCTTTTTCACCGTGGGGGACCAGCTGTCTCTTCCTTGTTCTTGCACCCCTTGATGACACTCCTTAGAGCATATATTGTAGATTGCCCCCAAGGTCTCCTGTGATGTGTGTCCCCGAGGTGGCTGCAAGCTACGCCATTCTCGTCCAGGAGATAAATGCAGAAGGTATGGGACCTTAGAGGAGAACTATGAGGTGAGTGCTTTTCACTCACCTCATAGTTCTAGCTGACCTGTCACAATGAGACTGTCACAGGTCAGCTCAGTAGATCGGGAGGTGAGCGAACACATACCGGCGTTCGCTCACTTCTCGATCCTGTCACGGCTCTCTGCCGTGACAGGGGAGGGACTGGATTCCCCCCGCTCCGCTCCGATCCTCCATCGCTGACTGGCGGAACGGACGGGGACTGGGCGGGTACAGCTGGCTCTGCCTCTAGATAGGCAGAGCCATCTGTCACTCACGCAGCTGGGCGGATCCAGACATAATTATCGGCTTCAGCTGCGGAGTCTCAGTATGTAGCTCGCGGTATACTGAGCTTAGGGTGACGGGAAGACGCTAGTTTGTGTCCTCCCGTTACCCTAAGGAGAACTATGGGGAAAAGCCCTAACCCCATGGTTCTCCTTTAACTCAAAAATAAAACTTTTACTATGAATGCAGATGTGAGGATGGTTCTAAACATGGGCAGGTCCTCTTTATAGCCGGAGCTGTCCTTTAATCTCAGTCCGGTCTTTATAGGATGGATAGTTTCCCAAGAGCTGGAGAAGCTTAGTCTGTATCTTGCTATATACAGTAATTATCTATCGCCTGAACCGCCCAAATCACATGCTGGGCTTCACATTATTATTAGCAGAGATGTGACTGTTCTTTCCAGACCTTCTTCCATTTCCTGTGCACTTCCTTGTTTTCTTGGCCTGAGCTCCAAGCTGCAGTGAATCATCCCAGACATTTGGGTTGGGTTTGTTTCATGCTCTGGATGCTGTGCAGAGAATACATACCTTATGTAGACCACAGTCTTACCCTGTGGACCATCCTGTCCCACTATTCCCCCTGGCCCCCCCACCATTTACCCAAGCACCCCCTTTTATATAGTGCTTACACCCCATTAACATGTCTGGAGAGAGGAGATGCAAAGCTTTCAGAAGTCAGTAGATATGAATATTTCACTGTGATTAATGTGAGTACCCTAAACCTAAGGGGTATGCTTTGACCATTTTGCATTTAAACAGATTTGGGAGGCATGACTCTCCTGCAAAACAGCCCTGATCTCTACACCGGCATTCACTCACCGCTACAGGTTGCCCATATGTTTGTATGTCTATGGTCTCCTCGTCTTCTGGATATCCTTCATCATAGCTGGTTCCCTGCTGGTACCAGTTCCACTCTCACTCCAAGACCACTGCAGCCTCATCTAAACACACTGGAGCATTAGAAGGAGGTTGCATGACATAGTTAGAAGGTTCTGTAGAGGCCAGATGACAGTTTCCCCATATGGCCAGACTGGACAATGATCCACTGTTGGATGTCGCTGGCTGATGCTCACCTGGGGGGCGGGGGGGGGGTTGTGGTCAGATAGGACATAGAACCTTTTCTGATTGATATTGGGGGGTTTTTCTTTGATAAGCTTGCACCTGAGGTATCCGAAGCACTTTCCTGCCCATCTCCCTACATACATACAAGTGGCTGCCCAAGGTGACTTTTTGGGGTGTATTTAAAAATATTGCAGAGCCATTCATCCTGCAAAACTTCTGTGTGAATGAGGGGCAAAAACGAATGTTATTAGTATACTTTCTTTCCAGGTCGAATGTAATTCTTTCATAAGTGAATCAGAAAAATGCCACATTATGGCCGCTAGATGGAGCTGAGCATCATAGATATAAACACTCAGTTCCGATAAACTTTAGCTCCATCTAGTGGCCATCATGTGGTTTTTTTCCTGATTCACTCATTCAACATTCGTTTTTGCCCCATTCGCACAGAAAGAATGCACATGCAGCTTTGCAGGATGAATGGCTCTGAATTTTCTATGAATACACCCCTTTGTGTTTCGATGTGTGTAGAGATACCCAAAGGCAGTAAGTTGCACCTTCATGTTACGTTTATCGTCTATGGCCAGCTATGCTGTCCTGCCCAGAAGCCTACTGATTCTATCCATAGCACTCCTACCAAGGTATTTCAAGAGGATGGAGAATTTCTATTTGATCTGGATAACATTAGAAATGAACTATATTATACATGTGGCCTGGAAGTTCCTCCATTAAATGCCGTCTTTTTCGCCGCCCATTATGACAGTGGTTGCTGGGGGCTTCTGAGTCCAACAATTCTCTCAGGAGCTTATCTCCTGAGACGATCATACAGACCAACTTAATATATTTTTCCGACCCAGGTGGGTGAGGACGTTGACGTGACCATGTCTGGATGTACTCATATTTTTAAGGTTGACAGTATTACAGCATTAACCTGCACTGTGTGTAGGATGACCTCTTCCACATACATAGATCGGGGACCCTCCAGACCCCAATCATAGGGATGTAGGAGGAATCAAGCTGCATCTTTCTCATCATGCACAGATGCCTTTTGTATTCTGAAATTAAAGTTGTACATTCAGATGTCTCCATGTCCTCAAAATATTGCAGTGAGTGAATACTGTGTGTGCAATCACTGGTCTTCCAGACATTTGTTCAATCATCTTGACTTTGCTTGTGCTAATAAGCAGAAATTGTTTGTTTTTGTTTTTTAAATTGTGGT